GGCTATTTTTCATTTTATTTTCGCATAGCCGAAAACACTGAAAATTTCTAGGTAGCAAATCGGATATCTGATAGGCCCATTTTAGTCTGGATGAAAATTCCGGATTCATTCGAGATATGGAAAATCCTGCCCTGCGCAATGTATTGTTTTTTAGAATTTTTTTCTGAAAAAAAAAAAAAAAGAACCCTGAAAAAAAAGTATGTTGTTCATATCAATGATACAAAAAACTTTTGAATTGAAGCAATCTTTGATATCTCAACATATAAGAAGATAAAAAATAAAACCGAAAAAGAAAATAATATTTAGATAAAAATTTATAAAACGAATTAAGCATCCCCCCTTCAAAATTTACAGATGTGTACTTCACAAAATACAAAACCCACTAAAAAAGTTTAAAAAAATAATAAAATTAGTTAGACCCCCAACTTAAGTGAAAACAAAAAGTAAAAAGTGAAAAAATACGTGGGCGAGCTCGTTTTTACACCGCCATCTTCGACGATTTTGAGTTTTTTTTTTGATTAACCAAATGATTTGAAAATTTACAAGCATGTACGTCACGTCATAGAGAAGTCAAAAAAAAAATACAGAAAAAAAGAATTATTTTTCGGCCTCGAAATAATTTTTGGCGGGGGCCGAACGCCGTCGGGTTCGGACCCCGTACGGAACCCCGAACGCCCGTGCGTACGGAGGTCTGCCCGGGGACCTCCGTACGTATGGGCTAGTGACCCTCGTTTTAACTTAATTTAATTATTCTAATTTTTTATTATTATTATATTTTTAAAATTTTATTTTTTATTTTATTTTTTTGAACTTTTTTTTTTATATATATTTTTTTAAAAAGAGAAGTGACTTCATATTATTAACTTTTATTTATAATTCTATTTTTTTTTTGTTTTTTTATTTTTATTTTTATTTTTAATGTTGTGTGTGTGTGTATGTGTGTGTGTGTGTGTGTGTGTGTGTGTGTGTGTGAGTGGTGGGTGGCGGGGGGGTGGGGCAACCTCTCCTCCACCACTCGATCAATCAATTAATCAAAAAAAAAATAAAAAAAGCAAATTTGAATGAATCTTTCCTAAGAACATGGAAATATTCAATATTGTGGGGGGGGGGGGGGGGGGGTGTGGGGGGGGGGGGGGGCGACCCCGCCCCCACCAATTAATCAATCAATCAATCAACCAATCAATCAATCAATCAATCAATCAATCAATCAATCAATCATTCAATCAACGAAAAAAAAAGAAAGCAAAATCGAATGAATCTTCCGCTAGAATATGGAAATATACAATCCTACATATGTGTGTGTGTGTGTGCGCGCCTGTGGGCCCAATCAATCAATCAATCAATCAATTAATCAATCAATCAATCAATCAATCAATTAATCAATCAATCAATCAATCAATCAATCAATCAACAGAAAAAAAAAGGCACTGTTTTTTTTTT